TTTCAAAAGTTGCTTCCGCTTGTGAAAAGTTCTGCTCAAGTCTTGGCTATTGAACAGCGAAAATCGCAGGTCTCTATCTCATTCCTATCAAAAGTTATTCAAAAAATGCCCACGGGTCTTGTATTTTGGGATGGATAGTAATCGGTACCATTAACGTTTTCGGAAAGCATATAAAAACTTAATATTATTATATCTGAAAAACTTAACAGTTACCTTGTGCAATGTGCACCGAAAACTATAAGCATGTTGTAGGAAATGGGCAGTCCATTGATTTTAACAATATAAAATTCCTGGCTAAAGACAGTCAGCAGTATTATCAAATGATCAAAGAATCTCTGGCTATAAGATTAAACGTCCCTCAATTCAATGGTACCGATCGATCAGTACCATTTAATAACATCATGGATTTTATAGGTGCTTCAAGGGAGCCTTCAAAGCAAAAGAACATATGAAAAAAGGCAAAATATAAAGTTGTTCGAACTTTTAATGTGTCATCATGCTACGTCATTCTTAGCGGATGCGGAAAGGAACGGAAATAACAACTAAAAAGGTAGATATATACAAATATCGGCAGCGATAAAAAATGTATATCGTATATCGCGACGCGAGTCTCTTTAAAAATTCGCGGCACTATCGTGTAACGCGTTCGCTGTAAGAGTCGCGGAATAAGACGTGATTTTGGCGATCAGTATTTTTCCGAACTCATACAAAAGTCAATGACTCTCAAGTATTTTACTATAGTTATTATCATTTATTCGCGTTTTCCGTCTAATATCAGTAAATGAGCCACGCTAATTTTACCGCGAGCGCAGACGAATGGGCTACGCGCGACGCGACTACGCAGGACTATATTAGTCATATTGTAAGCTATTATTAAGATGTCACAAGATTTTGAAAATTTTTTCAGTAAGAATAATATATCAGGCGTGTAAGCAAAACACGACGGTGAATAGGATTTGTACGGGAGACGCGTCATGACGCTGTATCAAGTCGCGATTGTAAGAGAAAAATGCGATCGCGACGTGACAATTTTTTCTTACAGTGATCGCGCTCGGATCGCGAAGGCGTATCGCGATCGCTAAAAAGTCGCTACTGTCGCTTCACAATCGCGAATTACAAATTTTAGAAAAGTAAGACTTCATCGTGATCGCGCCTCGACAACAGCTACTTCTTAGCCATCGGGGCACGGGTTAGAACCAAAAGAAGTGATACAAGTAGTATCGGGATGATGGAACGAGACTAGCTAGCACACGGTTTTAAGAGAGACATCACATCACAGCACAGAAAAGCTATCTATGTTAGGTTTCAACTATGGCATCTCCTCCTAAGTATGAGTACGTCCATTATTTAAAATCCTCTACCACATATGTTATTTGCTTATGGGATCTACAAGAGTGTTCGTTTAAATACGACAACGTTACGATTACATACTACATTTACATTATTACGACATGTTCCTCAGTCAATAATCTTTCTGATTTATATATACCCGCCAAAAAGTTATTTGAAGGAATTTTATTATACGTGTTTTGGACGACTTTTTACGAATCTGGTGTAGCATACCAAATGAACGTTAAATGGCGAACTTTCTTATATCACGAATGTAGAGCTCGTCGAGCTGATCATTTTTTACATTGGCAATATTTCTCTAGAACTTAAGCTTCCATCACTAATTTGCCTAGTAGACAAAAATTAAGAATTTCACCTGTTTTTTCATAAGATCTCATATTTCACCATTAAAATTCAACACAAGTACTAGCTCATAATACATAGATGTAATGATCTCACTATCAGCTACACGCTCATGTGTTCACCGACTCTTCAAACGCCTTCCTTTTAGAGTTATGCCGCAAAGAACATCGAAAAAGTGAAAAAAAAGTCGCAATCCTTCACTTGTTTTTTACAAAGATATCAAACCAATGACTTCCAATCAAACAAAATCTTGTGCAGAATAGCCAATTCTATCGGAAAATGGGATTTAACAATTTAAAAAACCACTTCTAGAAAAAAAATTTTTTAATATGATTAAGTCATGATATTCGAAAATATCACCCTCAAATTTTGTAAAACGTCTCACTAATTTTGCCAAAAGTGGAATGAAAAGCCATGTATCACAGATTGTAGAGCGCAAGTTCTACTATTAGGATCTGTGTTTAGTTTGGTTAGCGCTGTTACTTTGTGTGGAAAAATTTTGACATCATGGTATAAAAGCGGTACAAAAGTACACAATTGAGCAAGTAATTCTCCTTTTGCGTAGTCAATAAATATACTCAGCTCAAAATTGATCATAGATTCAGAATCTACATCGAAATCTACGTATATAGAGTTAGTCTCGCATTTACCTATGCGTACAATAGTCTAGCAACAGATATACGAAAGTGCTATACATAAGAATATATTTATATATCAACTTTTTTTTCTTTATTTTTGTCGTTCTGTAGATGACATCTTTCACTTTTCAAAATTGTTACAAATCGTGTGTTTAACATAAACCATTTATAATTTGAGCTGAAATTTAAACAAAAATGACGACTGGTCAAGATTCGAAATTTCAAAACTGTACCATTTTATGATCATTTACACAATTGTGGACCAAGCATAAAGGCAAAAAGTTCAGACGTGTTTTCAATTGATCAATTGAAATCAAATGTAACAGTAGGACTAGATTATGTCTCAGAACTGGACTTAATTGTTTCACGCTGTGGCTTATCAAATGTGGAAGTAACGGATATTCGAGAAATCTGTGCAAAACATCGATACAAATTCAGAATTTATTACCAATCATCTCGTTTTTGTCAGCATTCCAACTGCACTAATAAATCTGCTTCTTCAGAATCAGCTTCTTTGAATCTGTCACGTTATATTTCAACAAAACATCGGTACAAGTTTCCTATAAGTAAGTTCATTTATAAATGTTATACTGCTCATTATTGTTCCGGCTTATTCGCGGTTTTACAAGGAAGTATTTGTAGAATTTGTCGTCGTCAAGAAGAAGAAGCGATGAAAAACACAGAATCTGAATCAGGTGGTATATCTCCAATGGAAGAGGAGGAGCAGGACGAAGTGGAGAAAGCTTTAACATGTTACAAAAAACGTCCAATAAATTTATACAATTTTCGAAATATCAAGAATCCAGATTTTGATATGTTACTTCTTTGAAAGTGCTTATATTTATTTTAGCAAAGGATTTAAACTTTAAACTTCCGTAAAAAAATCGTGAAAAAGTTTGGGAAGAAGACTGTAGGTGCTTACGAAGAAAATGATCTTACGTGAGCGTAACACATAGACTTATTAAATCTAAATTTCTATTTTGCATGAACGGTTTCGAAGTTTATGTAGTAGTTCAACTTGAAATAGAATAAATTGAGAGTGCAAAAATAACAGGTTCTACCGAAATCTCGCGCGTGATACACAAACCTTCATTTGAAGGAGTGTTCAGTTGCATTCGTAGCACTGCCCCTAATAAAAGAAAATGCTTTTTTTCTCGCTATCATCGCTAAACTTATTCTTACTTATTCGCTTACTTTTTACTTACTTATTCTTATTTCCATTTAGATAACGATAAACTAAACAAGTCATTTTCTGATCTCAGTACCACCACCAGCCAACAAAGTGGCGGACGTGTTTGGGAAGAAGAACTGTCCTCGTCTCAAAAAGCAAATGTAAATGAAATCCTTCGTCAAATAAATCCGTCTATAAATCCCATTGTTTATCAAGTTAAAAATTCTTCATTTTCCACAAGCAAAAGACAACAAAATATGTTAAAACAATCTCTTCTTTCTATTCTAACGGAATCCACTTCATTTTTTGCTAAAGCGATTTGTCCTGGTCATTTCAAAGAACTATTAGATTTATGTGAAGTTCCGACGTTTCTTCGTAAAGAACATGATAAATTTTTGAACGACGATAAAATATTAGAGTCGATAAAAGAAATTTATGGTAATAACACGGACACTCGATTAAAACTTCAGTTGTTATCTATCGTTGTAAAGAAAAATTACTCTTCCACCGATATTAAATCTGCATTCAACTGCACTGATTATATGATTACCAAAGCATTACAACATGCAATAAAGAAGGGTTCCGGTTCTATTGTACCTCGACAACATTATCATCGTGCTCGAGTCTCGTTTAATAGAATAAAACATTTTATGGATTTTCTATTCGATCATGATTTCGTACAGGACGTTGCGTACGGCACAACAAAAATTCGAACAATGAATGAAACATTCACAATACCACTTGTCGTTAAAAAATGCATTAATTCTCATATCGTTTATGCCTACGATAAATACTGTCAACAAATTCCCTTTAAGCGTCTATCAAACCGTTCGTTATACAGAGACCTGAATTTTGGGGAGGTGCGTACCCTCCCAAAAATTTAAAAGAACAGTAAGAAGGTAATTATTTAAAATTAAGTTTACACTATCTCGGACAAAAACCTTTCGTTACACCCCCCAATGTCCGGCACCTACTCAGGTCCCTGTCGTTATATCGTGTATTAAATGAATATAAAATGTCTCAACGAACGTCGCTTGCTGGTCTTGATGATTACACCGCAGGTGGAACAGAAAGCTTCGATGTCTTAGAGAATCTCGTTGCATCATTACCAATTACAAAATACGAACAAAAACGAATAATAATGCAATTACATGAAGCTAAAAGACATTAAAAAACCGGATTTTCGTTGAATTTATTATTACAGTCAAATGTTTCTTCGCATTGTGTCGACTTTGCTCTTTCTGACTCTGATTCGAAAAGCGAATTCTATATTAACTGCAATCATCACCACAATAATGACTGTGAAAACTGTTCAAACTTACTTGTAACACTCAGTCAAATAACAGAACTAATTCAGACGTCTAATAATCCAAAAAAAGATGAATGGGTATACGATTGTACTGCTAGTATTAACAAAATTTATGAATGGCAGAAACACCTTGTTCGTCATTTTGCTCAATAAAAATCAAAAAATGATATTTTGAACAATCTTAAGCCTAACGCAGCATTTTGGCTCAGGGATTGGAGCATGAAGGTATTACCCATGGAGTTGTTAGGATACTGGAGAGATCCTAAGACGGATGAAGTCAGCCCGGTAGTGTAATGGCAGTACGTCCGACCGGTAATCGGAAGGTCTGGGGTTCAATTCCTCAGTCGGGCAGTGGTCTTTTTCCGTTCTGTCGTGATATAACATCTCGCTGGG